GGTGTCAGTTGATTTTATTTCTACTATATTCAAATTTCAACACTCGTCGCGGGCAGCATGAAAGGAAGCACTGCACTCTTGGCGCAAACCAGTGCCCAGTCAATGGTTCTACACTCAAACACGCATCACCACCCGACCTGTTTGAAAAATAAATAATTTTCAGTACTTTTGGTAGAAAAGGCGAATTTTCTACTGAGCGTGATATTTTGTGGACCCAAAAGTCCTGTAGCCGGGATCGGTAGTTCATAGCTTCAGGAAGACGAAGAACGACGGATGCATTATTTCCCGCGGAAGTACTGTTTTGAATTTGAATTCCACATAAAATTGTATATGCACAAATTGTGGCACGATACCGACCTTGCTTGATTACTTTTCTTTTAAAGACAACATAACCAGGCATAATCTACAGATATTGCAGAATTAATTTTAATTGGCGTACAGCGCGAAAGACAAGTATGGACATAAAGAACACAATAGAGCTCTGCATCTCTACTGCATTTCTTTCCGTACTTGTGGACAGTTAGTCCGCATGACTATATTCAAAAACTGCCAAATCGTTTAAGCCTACCCCTTTTTATAATTTTTTTCGTAGATTAATTGTGGCGAATCCCGGCTGGGTTCGGGTAAAGATCTCGCACGTGTTCAAGGACACATTTCGGCATGATTTCCCGCTTGGTGACGACGTTGAGCTGACCGCTGTTCCGCTTCTTTTCTAAGTAGGCGGGGAACGCCAGACGCCTAAATTAGCCAAGCAGCCCCAAAACTTGCGGTAGTACACCTTCCGAACTCCTGGGTTTTTTTGGAGATGGCCTTCGCCCACCCTGACAAAGCCCCAAACAATTATGTAAGGGCTGCAGAGGATATCTGGGCATTCCGTTTCTTCATCAGCGAACAAATGCGAACAGAAGAGAATGAAAACTTCGTAATACCTGCTGTCTTTTAATAAATGGCATAATATTGCTAGTGGCATAATATTGCTAGTTGCACTATTTTACGCGAAAAAAATTGTGATTTTGCGGTTCTATCTCCGTGTTTCCCGTTCTCTTTGCTGATACGCAAGATATTTGTCGGGTGTCAAGTTTTCAGTTACATGTGTCGACAGAAACTAAATGCACGTTTGGCCACGAAGAAATTTTTTTCAAAGGCTGAAGATAGATGAAATATACCATAAACCGTTTCAGTTTTTATGGAAGTTTGTTTTTACTCTTCTTAGTAGCTTCAACGAGGCAGCCGTCACTCTAGAAAACACCTGTAGTACGAACCTATATATTATGCCCCAGAAATGGTCATACTGGGTCCCTCTGACTGCAATACCTTTGACTTGTAATTACGCATGATTATTACTTTGTACAAAAGACAAAAACAAAAAAAAAAACGCAATAGTGATATAATCACTCTTCAGTGTGCCGTTTTTAGAACGACAAATTTTCAACTCTCTGGGTAGAGCTCAAAGTTCGGATAAAAATACCCATCTTTTTTCCTTCTGCTGTGATGTTCAAGTTCCGTTGACTCGAGATAAATATGCGGCGGTGTAGCGTGTGTGGCCGCATGCGAAAGTATCGGAATGTAAAAGAACTTGTTGTTGGGCTAGTTGGTGTTGACTATCTGAGTGTGTTTTAGAACTGCAGAAAAAGAGCAAAAAAAAAAAGAAAACAAGAAGAAAAGCGAACCAGCTCGAACCCTTCCGAGCTCATATCCAGTCTGCCTAACTAATCCCTGGTGTTTGGGATTGAAGCAGAGAACCTTGAAGGGTTACAGAGATTTTGTCGGGGGGCCGGTAAGCCCATTAGCACTCGTGCGAGAAGGCCGTAAAAAGCGAGGAGGAAAATGGAGGAGGAAAAAAAGAAAAGAGGGGGAATCTTCTGCCACGCTGAAGAAAATTTTGAGCCCCCGCCTTTAAGATAAGCCCTTCATTTTTTGTTGAGCAATACATGCAACCCACGTGTAAACCATGGCTTGTCACATGCTCGTTTTGGCACAAGCAGAAGCGATGGGACACTCTTCCTGCAAGCTAAATATTTTCCTTTAGTTTTGTCCATAGATCATTGCTGCTCAAGCAGTTAAAGTTTAAAAAACTGGAAGATAAAATTTGAGAGCAGAGTTCATTTTTGCAAAATCTGCTCGGTCATAAAGAAATGCCATTCGTTCACGTGATTTGCTCTTGCTTACACAATTTAAATTGACCTCAGACACAACAGCTTTATGGTCACTAATTCCTGAGACAGTGTGCATGTTCTTAACAATTCTAGAAGTGTTACAAAGTAAAAGATCCAAATATGTCAATATCATCATTGTGTGTGGGCTTAGTAACAAACTGTTCAAGTGAAAAATTGTCCAATAAGCTGAAAAACTTGGTATAAAGTTCACCACCAGTGACACCCCTGAAGTTTTCATCATTCCTTGCAACGGCTGGAAAAGTGAAATCACCGCCAATAATAATGTGATTACATGCAATTGTTTCTAGAGTACTGGAAAGGGATTTAATTGTGCAAGACGTTGTACTTGGTGACTGATAAAAAAAAGCAATGGCTAAGCATGTCCCTTTAGTCAGCCTAATCTGTCAAAACACAGTTTTGGCATCTTGAGTATTCACAGGAATCTCGGTAGAAGAAAAAGCCTTATCAACTGGAACAAACACGCCACCACAACGGGAGTAGCGTTCACGTCTGTAAAATTCAAAACCGTCAGGAATACCTTCCCGTCACGCACAGAACCATCCAACCAAGACTCAGTTCTCATCACTGCAAGGGGCTTAGTCATAAAGAGCAGCTGCCGGAAGTCGTCAACTTTATTTTTCAAGCTATTACAATTGACAATAACAAGGGAAATCGAGCAAGTTGGTCACGGGCATTCACATAGTCAGTGCCAGTCAATATGTTTTGTGACAAGGTTCCAGGAATACTTTGGTCGCCTAAAACCAAGTTGTCATATTTTAGGATTGCCTTTGTGCCCCCTTGCCGATGCACCTTTGCATAATCCTACAGCTATTTCCCCTTTATGCAAACAGCTTTTGAGAAATCTTCAGATACACTATACATGGAATTTTTCAGCTTCCAAGCACTTGTGAGGATGTTTTGCTTTCCTTAAAAGATCTGAAGATAAAAATAATCGGACGATTTTTCCCTGCAGTAACTTGCCCAATCTACGAGCTCGCTCAACCCTATTGTCGATTTCCGACTTAGATCTAAACAAGTGTTTTCAATGACACAGGCGTTTCCCATAAACTGGTGTCCTGAACTCCATAGAAAAGAAGATTTCATCGAAGACTACAATTTTCCAAGTCTTCAAGCTTAACGGAAAGAACGCCCAGGTAATTCTGCTGTTCCTGCCATTTGGTTTTCAAGTCATTAAGAATCACGCATGTCTGCTTCAATCTTCCAAGATTTTACTCAATTGAATCTACTCGTGTGCATAAGTCATTAAGGGCTGATGTACTATTGGGGAAAATGAAATGCGAACAGAGGAGCGCGTGGCTCGCGGTACAGGCTGAGCCGCCTGGAAGTGAGCTTAGGAGCGAAGGTGCGTGGCCTACTCCGACGTGTTCACGCCCCTCCCTCTGTGCTCCCCAAGCTTCAGCAGTGCGCCTTCAGCAGTGCAATAGTACACTTCGCGCTTTCCATTTTTTCCCCGCCTCTTCCTTTCCTTAAAGGGGTAGTCCGCCGATTTCTTCATGGTCCCCGATTTGCTTGAAATTTTGCTAAACTCGCCAAACAACATCGCCAAAATAGTATCCCAAATATTAGGTCAAAATAATTTTTTTTCACGAAGTTATTGAATTTACAATTTTGGTCCTCACCGTGTTTTTCAAACTGAAAGTCTCTACTGGCAACAATGAAAAAGTGACGTCATTGGAAGTGCAGGGGTTCACTCTTTGGACTGTAGAATTTGTTCCCAACTGATTCGAAGCAGTTTCATGGTGTCAAATGAATGCCTTGGAAGCTCGCTCCAGTCCTCGCGCTCCAGCACGGAACAAATGATTGTAATATTCGATTTTTTAGACTGCTCGCCCGACTGGCAAGCTGAACTTCCACTGACGTCACGGCCCTGAAAAGGGCGGGTATATTTGAATTTCTGTTTTTGCATCATTTTCATTTGCCGATTTCGCAATAACTATTATGAATTTCACGATACTAAATAGCATACCAGAAAGGGTAAAGGCCTGGGAGTCAGAAAATATAGTTAGTTGAGGTGGCTCAAAAATCGGCGGAGTACCCCTTTAACCCCTCCACATTCTACCTGGCTCCATCTTGGCTCCCCTCACCACTTAGGAGAAGGGAGTGCTAAGAGGGTTATCTTCCCTGCAGAAAACCGAGGCTGTATGTTGGCCTTTAAGACAGGTATCAGATGACCTTTGGCTATCATCAATTGAAACAAGCTTATCCATCAAGCTCTTCTGCCGTTTAAAATTTCTTCAACCTGTTGTTCAGAGAGAGGCCCCGGACTCAGTTATACACCACCACACAGCAGCAAGTGCAGTAAATAGAAAGCAGTAAATGCAAGTATATTGACAAAAAGAGAAAGACACTCAGTCTCGCTAAAGGAACAAAATAATCATGAGGTCACCACTCCACGAGCCTGTTTGTTTCTATTGAATGTTTTATATTCTCTTGCCTCGCAGTTTTTTCCTGCGAGGCAGATGGCATGTATCTGTGCTGCAATGAAGCAGGGTTGGTATACAGGTATAGGTATGGCTTTGCGAGGGCTGCGGTGTGGTGCCATACATGCGTGTATGCCCAGAGAGTAACTTCACATGAAAAAGCCTTTGTCCCTGATCTCCACAAGTTGACCTGCTTTTTCTCTCTTATGTCACCTTGGTAAATGTTGTTTCCAGGAATGGTTTTACTCTGGCTTATGTAAAAATAAGGTGTTTTATTGTTCTGATGATTAATTGGGCAGTTCACTAAATCTATTAGTGATCTCAGCAAGAGATCAGCATTATACATCTTATGAGGTGTGCAACTACTACAGCCATAATTGCAAGAAATACGAAAAGGAGGTACCTTCGCTTCCGTGGTGAGAGGTTATACAGCGCAGCGTTCTCACACACTCCCTCAGGAGACTCAGGTATGGGACTGGTCTGACATCTGTTACAAGGCAGAAATGGAAGGTAGAAGAAAACAAAAAAATTGAAGTGTCACATTTTGTTCATGCTTTTTCCCACCTCAGTACATCATGAGAAAATTAACCTATTACACTGTAATTTGCACCAAGACAAATATATTTCCAGACAACTGTCACTCACGAAAAATGCCTGGAAAACACCAGGTGACAACGCAAAATGATCAGGCTACCTCTGCGATAGGACTCTTCGTAAAATGTAACCTGTCCATTCTAGTTCATCAGAGGGCCTCTTTTTAGTACCTGTCCCGGCTCTGCATAAAGTTTTACGAAAGCCAGAAAGGAGGAAACTCTCCCACATTTCCTCCTTCCCATTTAGGAAAAGGGAGCTCCCTCTACTTTCTGCTGGGAGCAGCTTAGAGCAGTGGCGTCACAAGGGGGGTGCAGTGCTCTGGAGGGTGCCGTGGCAGGTCGCGAGAAGGGGGGGGGCAAGGTGTAGCCACGGGCCACCACCCCGGGTGCTGCTGACCCTAGTGACGCCACTGGCTCAGAGCCCTGCTTTTGTGTGGAGAGGAGAGAACAGCACGAGAGGAAACCAGTTTCTGCCTGGCAGAAGACAATTCTGCTCTGCAGGTCGGCTTTAAAGCTTACTTTTCTGGTCTTCTGCATTCAACAGAGGCATAACGAATTTGTTTTGTTTTTTGAGTGGGGGGGGGGGGTAATGTTTAACTTGGAAAGCAAAAAGTTGGGCAGGGGCTTCCAGCTTTATAAGCCCTCCCCCCAACCCTTGACTACGCCAGTGACACTTAGCCTACTACACTTGTTTTTCGATGCAGAAGGACCGTTTCTTGATATGCAGCAAAATGTTAAAATGTTCTCGTGCTCTTTCTTTCCACATGTTTGGTCAAAGAGAAACGCATGCCACTGCACTCAACCGATCCACCTTTTAAGACGCAAAGGCCGACTTGTGCTGGAATGCACTTGAAGGAAGGTGGCAAGTCGACAAGGGTAGACCATGGCACCTGGTAGATATCTCCATAGTCCATGGACCAGACATCTGCTGCGTCCCCCTGAACTTGCAGGACAAGAACCCTACGAGCATGCTCACTCGACAACATGAACCCTGCAATGCTTCCGACCGTGGGTGCATGCTGCCGAGGTCTTGGCTCCGTCAAAGTGCCCAAAAACTCTAAGATGGACTCGCCGAGCGACTGGATGCTTTCTTTCGTCTCTCCGCCGCTGTAGACCCACAAATGCTGAGCATCGAGACAACCAACCACTTCGAGCATGGAGAGCTCTCCTACTTGGACAGGTGTCTGGGAGGGCTTCAGTGCTTTGAGAAGGGCATGGTCAGTTTCCTTACTGGCATCCTCTGTTTCGGTCCACATGCTGTTGGCCCCTTCTGGAAGGTTAAAACTCTTGGGGGACTTGCTGAACTTTGTGACATAGGTGAGGGGCTTGATCTTATCAACTGCCTTTCCCAAGAAAAGCTGCCAGAGCTTGATGCTAGCTTCTGTATCTGGGAGGATCTCAACAGAATCAATGAGTGGCCTGTTGAGACCACGCTGGTAAAACCAGCTAACATGTCGGCCGATGACGGAGCAGATTTGCGGGCCTACGGGAGCGTCTAGGTCACATAAATTAAGCAGAACTTTCATGAACGTGCAGTTGTTTAGGATCTGCTGACGGCCCTGCGGATTGTTTCTCATCGCCGTGACTATCTTTTGTAGGACAACCAAAGCCTGCTGGCAGGTGACGCAGACGTAGACGCCGGCGATGCATTTGCGCTCGAAGTGAAGCGTCGTAAAGAGTGAGACAAATTCCCGCGTCATATCGAAGAAACTTTCAAAAAATGGAAGCTGGTGGTCTCGAAGCGTTCCGTGTCTTCGAGGGTCGGAGGAATCTTCCGATACAGACAGCACGACGCGCTGAGACCCAATCCCACTGCGGTCTGGAAGTTCTTCGATTTCTTCAAGGCAGGACTCGAAACTACCCGAACTTGCGTCACTCGAGGACGATTCGCTGTTGTGTCGCTCGCGAAGCTCTCGAAAGCCACCTTCGACAAGATGGCTGCGACACTCTTCTGGAAATTCGGACTCTTGAAATGAGCTTTCAGTCGCGCAAAGCGCATTCGCAAAACGCGAGGCGGCTAACGACTCTGCTGAGCCTGCCATCATCGCCGCGCTGTGATGCGAAGTCTTTCTTTTAATAAAAAAACTATGTTATAGGACGCGATTGATTTTACCTTTGCAAGCTACCGAGTACAACACTTCCATACAATCAAAACGCTATGGCTTCGTTTGCTTTTGGTTTGACAGCGTCATGATGGTCGAACCGTTTAGGTAGGCGATCTCACAGTATTTAATAAACGTAATGATATGAAACGATATCGAACATAACATCGCTATGACAGCTGACAGGCGAAAAGTTAAAACGCGCGCATACGGAACCACAAGAACACAACGCAGAAAAAAGCACACAACAGGACAGCAGCTTAACTAAAATTGAAAATAACATTAAGAATGTAATTGCGTGTTTTAAAATAATTTTAATAAAAAAACTAAAATATACAAAACTTTTAAATTTATAGAAAAATTATGGGCATTAATGGCGTATCATAATAATTATTTACTGCGCACCTTGTGCATGGTCGCCAGTTTATGAAACATGGCTGCCTCCGCGATCCTCGCTGATGTTCCCGCTCCTGGATTTTCTTTTGAAAATTGTCGCAGGTAGGCAAGACACTCGATTACTGACATAGAAAGAATCCTTATTACGTTATATGATGTTAGGGTTGTGTATTTTTTTGTATGAATCAGGCAATCCTAACGAAAAACCGAGATAAAGCTGTAGTGAGTCGACAGTTTTTACCTCAAATGTCGCCTTTCCAATTATCAATCTTTCCTCCTGGGCGTCTAAAACGTATAACATACCATACTAGCTTGCCGAACTTCTTAGCGAATACTGCGAATATGTCTGTTCATTTGCAGGAATGCATTTCTGGCGTCCAAGGGACTTGCTTTGCCTAAAGCGACCAAGACCGGTACTACTATTGTCGGCATCATTTTCAAGGTATGTTGGCCCATAATAGTGGGGCTACAGTGCGACCTTTTTACTCTTACCCTTTAATTCTAACTACAACAAACAGGATGGCGTCATCCTCGGTGCGGATACTCGTGCAACCTCGGGAAGCATCATCGCTGACAAGAACTGTGCCAAGATTCATTACATGGCTCCAAACATTTAGTAAGTTCGCCGCGCCGTACTTTGCCGTTGGAAATCTGCCGAGATGTATGCAAACATGGAGCATTATAAATTCGCGGTTATATTACTGACAGTTTGTCGTAGTAACTGTCGGGGGCTTGGTTTGACCCCCCAAAAGGGCAATGATCAGTTGATTTGGTAAAGATCTGCCGATTTGCTCGCATTCCTTTTTGGCCAGTGAGCGAGATACCTCTCCTTCTTTCACAAAATTTTACCACCATTTGCATACATTAACTATTGTCGTTGTGCGAGGCTCTTGTGCTGTATCATTGTTGTGCAACATTAAATTTGTTGTGTGCTTTAGCATCACAGACTGACTTGAAGTAGCTGAGTCATTCCCCTTCTGTCACGTAGCTGCTGTGGTGCCGGGACTGCTGCCGACACGGAGAAGACGACCAACATGATTTCGTCGCAATTGGAACTTCATCGTCTGGCCACAGGGAGAACGGTGCCTGTGTGCACGGCAAACCGTATGCTGAAACAGATGCTGTTTCGGTACGTAGCCTGGCAGATTACCATAAAGTGCAGCCCTTTTAGCTGATTCCAGTGTTTGTGGGCTTGAAAAAAGATACCGCAGGGAAATTTTTGGTGGTTTTTTTAAAAGCTTATTTAGATGCTCGACAATACATCACCAAATATTATGCATATTCAATATTTTTTAATTTAATTTATTTCTAATTTAACTCTGAGTGCCACTCTCGGGCGCATTCGCCGTGTGCTTTCAGTTTCGGTTTGCTGCCCTCTCATCCTAACTATGCCTTTTTTTTTTCGTAGAGCGCAGCTCTTAGGCGCCAGTCTCCGGCTTGAGCGGCGTCGCCGTCGGCGTAACCGCGCGGTGCATTATGGGAAATGAAAATGGCTCACAATGCACCGTGCGAGCCCCCCTCCCCCCAAGGTCACGTAACCCCCCCCCCCCCCTTGGAGGAGATTCAAGAATGAGGGGAGGAGGAGGATAAGGAGGTGAGGAGGAGGGGTATACCCTCCTCTCAGTACCCTTCCATCCTCCTCCTCAAAAGCTGCGCTCTAATTTGGCGTTACAGAAAGTTGTAAACGGGTTTCGCTTTTCTTCTTTTTTTTTTACGAGGTGTAACGGTTTGTGATCAAGTGACGAAAACAATGTGTTGTCGTCATGTTTGTAACTCTTTGATGCCGTGTATTTTTTTTTCTTTTCTGTTTAGGTGATTTTTTGTTTTGGTATGCTCCTTCATTGTTGAGAATGACGACCCTATATCATTCAACCTCGCACTTCGGCAAACACCGAGATGTATAAATTACGAATGAACTCGGTATTCGACTGTTGTAGGAAATCGCGTACCGCCGCCGATTCGCCGTTTCCCACGTGGTCCGTCAACAACCCGAGTCCAGCCTGGTTCTTTCACGGGAGCGGGATTCCGCTCCCAGTTTATTGGTACAAAAACACACAACGCTACAAAACACTCAATCTAAAATACAAATACAAGTTACATTACACAAATATTTACAACCGCACGTTAAGCCCAACGCTAAACACAAAGAAGGCCTTAGGCCTCGCGTCCCGCGATATCCTAGATCCGGTCGCCACCCACTTGCCTGCCTGCGTCTCGGTCTCGTCCGGAGTTCTTAGAGGCCTCTCGCCCCCTCCCCACCGAGTATCTCTATCGATGGGCGAGGAGGTTTCTCCTCGCCTGCCACGGGGGCGCCTGCAGCGCCCTCCAGTGGCTAGGAGAGAAAGCGGCGCGTCGGGAGCCGAATTCGAGATCCCGATCGACCCCGCGGCAACACGACCATGTGATCGTGTCGCGGCCAAGATTGGCCGAATGGTTTGATGGGCGCCCTCGTGAATTCACGGTGCGCCATACTGTTAAAACAAGGAAGTTGCAGTTCCGAATAAACAAAGGCCGCATAGGACCGCTCAAAGGAGTGAACTTAGGTACAAGGTCAAGGTGTCACAGCATAGTACTCTTCCTCGAAAAGTACAATATGAGAAATATGTTGTAGGCTGGAGACATAAAGACATCAATGAACTTCTATCCCATAAAATAGTGTTTTAAATAAATATGTATCCTTCACAAAGCAAGCTACAGAGGGCGCGTCTAGTAGTGCCTCCCTTGCCTCTGGACAGAGTGACTCGAGTCAGAGCTCTTTGGATTTTCTTGCCGGAAATTGTCACCAGTCAGGAAATGACGTCATCTTTAGCTCCTTTGTCTCTATGTGCACAGTCTTTGGACTCGGTGCTTCGGAGCTTGACTCTAAGCCCCGGAGTTACGTGCACCGGAAGTAACTTTTGGTCGTCCAGTGGAAGGAGTCAGGGACTCCTTGACTCCGGGGTCACTACTGAACGCGCCCAATGTTACCAAGACCAAAATTTGCATTAAACATGTAGGAAAAAAAATGGTGCTCAAAGGATGAAAGAGCTGTGTCAAAATGTTTGAAATTCACTGATATTTATCAGATTTGCACCACATTTCACACAGCCCCACTTGAGTATGGTATGTCTATGAGGCATCTCCCCAAAATATATTTATTTTCTGGGAAGAAAATGAATGTTTGAGTGAATGCACTTGTGTTGCTACCAGTGGTAGCTGCTCGCCTGGCAACATTAAAGGACCACTGACAATCCTATCATCAGTAATTTTTTTATTGTTGTAAACGACTGAAAATGATTCCTAAGGTCCTAGGGATCCCCTTTAATATTTTAAGCTTGGGACCTGTGTATTTGCAGATAAGATAACACATTCAAAAAGTTGTATTTGAAATTCCCACCCAGGTCTGCGACGTAGATGGCAAAATGATGGGCTTCTTGCCTTTTTGGGTGACTTCAAACAGAAAGTGTTATTTAACTTTCGCTCTCATCAATCTCGGCAATCACAAGCACTTGTGTCTGCCAGCCGGCCATTCAGTGCCATGCACTTGCCACAAAGGTAAAGAAGAAAAAAAATTATTTGGTTATGAACGTGAGGGATAACCCAAACTTCTTGATCTCTCGACTAATGGTCTCTCAAAGTTTGAGAGGTTATTTGACATTGAACTCATCCCAGCCTTTGCCGACTTTTTTTTATCGTGTTCGTCCTTCTCAACGCCCTCAGCACAGCTGCCAAGTGCCACCATGTCGAATATAAGAAGAAGAAAAGCCAGGAGACTGCCGATGCCTCGTCACTAACGCTTCCGAACTCTGAGTTTTTACATTTCAAATTCAGCGGCATAGTGCAATTACAATTGTCATATTAAAAAAATTGTATGGCAAATTACTATAGTCCGTTGCAACCTAAGAACGAAGGGCGAGGGTAAGACGGTCCGGGGAGGAGGAAGCAGACGGAACGCTAAAGAGAGAAGAAGGTTTCCCCTCTCTTCTCCAGCGTTCCGTCTGCTTCCTCCTCCCCGGCCCGTCTTACCCTTGCCCTTCATTCTTAGGTTGCAACGAACTATAGGCAGTTATGTTAGATATGTGAAACATTCTTGCATCACAAGCGTTTAGCGATACTCTGACCCCGTGTCCTTAGAGTATGGGGAATGACGGGCAGCGGCCAGTTGCATCAGTCTTTCCGCTAAATTTTGCAGGTAAACTGAATTTGTGTCTCGGTCGGGTAACATTATTTTTACCACTAAATCTAGCGGGCAGACTGAATTTACGTCACGTGACATCATGTCACAAGACGTAAATTTTTCTGCTAAATATAGCGGTTAAACTGAATTTGTGTATAAGTCATGTGACATGAAGCCATGTGACATCTTTTGTGACATCATTCATCAAGTGATGTCATTTTTTCGACTAAATCTAGCGGAGAAACAGAATTTGCGTATAGGTCATGCGACACAGTCATGTGACGTCATTCTTCCCGCGAAATTTAGCGGGGAAACTAAATTGGCGTTGAGGTCACTTGAAGTCACTTTTTCCGCTAAATCTAGTGGGGAAATTGAAGTCTTGTGATGTTGCAGGCCACGGTGTCACTTCATCTCGCTTCGCTTAATCTGACTTCACTTAATCCGGCCTTACGAAATCTGGAGCAACTAGCCAAAAGCTTTTCACATTAATAGTTTTGTTCAATGTCATTAAGGCGAGGATCCACGTCTTCTCCCTCGGGTTCGGGGGACGAGGACACAAATTTTTGAGCAACTGTTTCACACCCTCAAACATTTTTTTTTTCTTTTTTGCAACAACATTTTTTGGTGAACATTTTAGGCACTTTTGAAGCATTTGAGACCGCAAAAAAGTATTGATGCTAGGGTTGTCAGTGGTAAAGACCACATGCGACGTAGGTTGTGCGCTGACCTATACAGAGTGCTTTCTAAGCTGCGTTATAGGCTCTATCTATACTCCGTTTCACGATAACCCTATGGGCCATGCGGCCTAATAAAAGCGTCGGAGTGAGGCTCATGACACCATGTCACAGGAGCATGTGTGTCGCTGCACTGCATGCGAGGTCCAGAGAAACCAGCTGTCATCTGTTGGCCAAGGGTCGTCTTTTGCGAAACCAGCGTATTTTATATGAGCGTCCACGACCACAACAGTGCTATCTGCTAGAATAGTGAGCTCTTTGGGAAGTGTTCATGAGACAACCATACGTTCAATTTACTCACAAATCTGTGATGGGAGCTAATGTCAGGGTCCAGTGCCATGTTTTGACCAGAACTGTTCAATTACACGGCCAACACAATTGCGATCGCCAACAACCAGGGCTCTACAAGGAGAAAACAAAAATCTGGAACAGATACAGATTTGGCGTCACTTTTTTTTTGTTTAAATATAGTTAAAACTCAAATTCGTGAATATTTATTAATTATTTTTTATATATTCTGAATAAAGATGGAATTGCGCAAGCTTACAATTGTTGTTAAGAGAACAAGAAACCTAGAAATACTTTTTGTCACAGACGGCATTGTTGCTGTGGCGGTAACAAGGTCTCCGTGGTCTCGAACATGGAGTGTTGTCACGTGCCTTTCTCCGACACTCTTATTGGGTCATGGGGGCTGCAGCCTCCACAGTTTGCCAAGTTATCGTTAAACGGAGTGCAGTCTAGAACAGCTTGATTTTTTTTTGTTTTTGCTTGTTCTGTTTGTTTATAACTGCATAGGAAATGTTGAGGGAATTCACGCTCCGCTGAGGGTGCATGAACACCAGAAAGAAGTGCAGCGACGTTTGAGATTTTATGGATTAGCATCTCTCTGCAACACGAGTGTGGGTGTGAGCTGTATGCTGTGAATGTTGACTTCAGAATTAAACTAGCAGACTTCGCTCCAACTAATGGAAATGAGGATGGGTAAGTGCAGGGTCCGACAGAGAAAATTTTACTTTGTTTTTTGGCCTGCTTAAGTAAACTTTGCATTGCAGAAAGCTGAAACTCCGCGTGAAGGTGATGCTACTGGTAATTACAGAATGCAAAAGTGAGAATGTATCCTTACCTGGATCCAAAGATAATGGAGGAAAACGAAATTTCCCCATGAGCTGTTGTCTACCTAAGCCTACTTTTTGTCGAACAGAGAAATGCCATTGTGGGCGGCAGTGGCGTAGCCATGAAATATTTTCGGGGCTGGATTTCTTGATTTGGGGTGTGGGGGGAGTGCTTTCTCACGTCTTCGCAAGTAGTAGTCGATGTACTGTACAAATCACGGATACGGACACGACCATCCCCAAGCCCTTTGACTGGAGCTCAAACAATTGCGTAGTCATTCAATACTTGTCTTCCAATACTGAAAAAAATAAAGAAAAAAAAGTGATGCATTGGGGGGGGGTCTGACTCCCCAAGCCATCCCCCTGCCTTTGCCACTAACCTGCGGCAATTATTTCATTGAACGAAAGCTTGTCATCATGAGAGTCAACCTAGTTTTTTTTTATTCTCGCTGAAAAGCCAAGCAGCATTGACAGGTTGGCTCAGGCTTGCAATTCTGTTGTCAGCGACTGCGATTCCTGCTGAGCGTTTCTCGCTTTCAGCTACCAGGGCCACATCAGTGCAGCGCTGGTGCTCGGAGGAGTGGACAACACCGGTGGCGTCCTGTGTTGCATCCATCCTCACGGGTCCACGGACCGGCTGCCCTACGTCACCATGGGCTCTGGCTCTCTCGCAGCCATGGCCGTCTTTGAGCGTGACTGGAAGCCCGACATGACGGTGAGGGTCATCACTGTGCCTCTCCGGGGCCACCTGTAAAGGCTGGCTTGCACTTCTGCATTTCAGTGGGCTCGAGCACGTTGCATTTACTCGTGACCGCTTAACACACTGGTAAACTGGTGCTACCTGTCAGAAAGACCTGGAACAGAATTCCAGGTCTACTCGAGAAATGGTGCTGGTGTGGTAAGTAAGTGGTTGCGAGAGAATGCGATGTACTCTATCACACCCAAACACAAATGCGCGAGCCAGCCTTAGCTGGGAATCGCAGAGGGTGCGACGCACCTCGTCGTGCTTTGCTTTACAGGCTGGCCAGATGATTGAGACGGACGTGCGATGTGCGGGTGTCCCATTTATCCATTTAGTTCCTCGTTCTCTGTCTTCATTCTTTGCGGAACCCTTTTTGCAATGTGCAGATGTCTCGACTTTGGAGGGTGCAACTTTTACTGCTTTCGTGTGAAATCTTGTGCATCGTCGACATTACATAGACTCTGTGCATGTGTGTCGAAGCCACAATAGACGTGTATGTCTCAACTGGAATGGTGTCATTGAGAAGGTTCCTATTGCAAAAGATGTAGTAGCAGCTGTGACGGCAGGATTTGTAGGTAATTTTTGAAAAAGTTTGTAATTTTGGAGAGTATAGAAAGATTGAGGTATACCTAAGCAATCCTCATGAGTTGTGAATGCAAAAGCATGCAAGCCGCTCATCCGCTCCCTTTTTCGTCTGCTGCATACTTTTCTTCGCCGGTCACCACACATTGTCCCCTAGGCACGCGCTAACGGCGCGCTGATGGACACGCAGCGCCATGGGGTGAACGGTCGTGGAAACTGACAAGCGCAGCGACCAATGGGAGTTTCGTCGACGCGCGCCAGCGAATGGAACCGAAGGATCAGGGAAACTATACGCCGTTTTCGGGCTTCCAACTGATGACATCAGCTCGCTCCATGAGACAGTTGATGCCTTCGCATTAAAACTAATTCTGTTTGAACGTTAGATGAAGACCGCATCTCAAAATTCAAATTAGATGTCATAAACATGTGTTCTTCGTTGTGACAAACAAAGAAAATCTGTTAAGTTTTCTTGTTTCTTCGGTCTCAGATTTTCATAACGATGAAAGCTCACCCGTTTGCCTGTCTTTTCTGTTTTTACAGCGGAGCTGTTAAGGTCTAGGTTCCCCAGGATCGTGCCCGGTGTCAAACAGATGTCGACACAAACCTCTGGACAGCTACTGCCATCTATAAGCGACGGCGGCAACCAGACAACCAGACTGGTTGCCACCGTCGCTCATAGATGGCGGCAACTTTTCCAGCTATCATTGAAGAATGGATAGTTGGGCGAGCTGGTGGAAATTCATCGTAGGAAACAGCGCGAAAAATAGACGAGGACAAAGAAGAAACACACGTGACGAGGGCAGCGCTCGTCACGTGTGTTTCTTCATTCTTGTTTGTTTTGTGCGCCGTTTCCTACGCTCTTGTCAGTTTCGGTTTGGACTCACAATGGGTCGGCCGCATGCCCTTTCTTGACAATGCATCTGCCTTTCATGTGTGGCTGTGTCGCCTTCATCTTGCTCGTTTATTTATTCAATCTTGCGTGAAGATTTCTTGTACTTTAAAACAACGCCCTGTACCGTGCTGCATTTTATAAGCCCAAACTAAAAGTTTTTGCCTGGGCACACCTGCCAACCCTCTCGAATTGTCCGGGAGCCTCCCGAATTTTGAATACATCTCTTGATGGTATTGACGCGACCTCAAAGCTCCTGAAAAATGTTGGCCACCATAGTTTTTTTTTTTCTTGAGAGTAGGTTTAGGTTACTCCGGCAGGTTATCACATGACAACTCGGAGCAGCAGCTTAAAACGAGGGTAGATTTTTAAACGCCAAGGTACGAAACCCCTACTCCTGAGCAAGTCCGAGCGCATTTTGGAACACAGCTCATATGATATTGTGTGCGCTAGGCTTCAGTTGGCTTTGTCAGGTCGTCCAGTGAGGTGCCGAACGCCGAACTACTCTGTGTTTCCCTGAGCTTAGCTAGAACGATCGATGGCGCTTTCAAGAGCCAAGAAGTACTTGCAAGTATTTTCGAGACCATACACGGCTGAGTTTTCAAGCTTTGTCGCTTGGCAGAAAGCTGACAAGTATGGATTCTGTAGCATGTGTGCCTGTGATGTGAGCGTTTCGCACGGCGGCAAGCCTGACATCAAGATACACATTGCTTCACGAAAGCATCAGAACCATTTTTGTGCCGTAAAAGGGCGGGGCACCGTTGGCAGTTTACTTCAAAACAACTGCGAAGACAGTGTGATCTGCGCAGAGCGCCTCTTCACAAAGCTTCTTGTCAAACTAAAAAAAAAAAAAAGTTTAGACCCTTCTTTCCCTTTCCCGCGCGGCGGTCTCCCGAATTTTTATGTTGCTAGATTGGCAGGTATGCTTGGGTATGAGCATATAACCTTTAATATACATGTCTCGTTGCATTAACACTAATGCACACCCACTCCACTGTGCCCTCTTTTTTTTTTTTTCCCATAATGCAGCATGTATTGGTTGATTATGCAGACACAAATCTTAGAGCCTAAAGCACATGTCGCAATGTCCGTTTCAGCTTGAGGAGGGAAAGAAGGTTGTGAGGAATGCTATTGCTGCCGGCATCTTCAATGACCTGGGGTCTGGCAGCAACGTTGACATTTGTGTGATCACTCGGGAAGGCAAGGACTACATCCGTCCCTATGATGAGGCCAACAAGAAGGGGCAGCGGTGAGTGCCCTTGCGAGTTTGTTACTCTACCATCCTTGGCAGTGGCCGTCAGAACTCTTCAATGCATAGGCAGTGATGCGATTGACCCAAGTCACTTTGTAGCACCTTTTGGAGCTGCCAAACGCTCAGTGATGATAGCACAGCCGACATTATCATTCTAACAGAAACTTGGTTAACGAATGACGTGCATGATACTGAAATATTCCCTCCTCACATGAACTATAATGTATATCGTCATGATCGTTGCTCAAGAAGGGGAGGCGGCGTCCTCATTGCCATAAAAAACAACATCTCATCGCTTTGTATCAGTCGGAACAACAATCTGGAACTAATCTGGGTTCGCATTAGCTCCCCTCACTCAAACATTATAATCGGAGTATGTTACAGGGCGCCCGAGAGCGATAATACTTTTGTTGATAAGATGCGGGATGCTCTTCACGAGCTTCAAACCAGTCACCCCAGAGCAGTCTTTTTTCTCTTTGGTGATTTTAACTTTCCAAGCATTAACTGGTCCTCACTCACGGTGACGAACAAAAGTGCCATAAATGAATCAAAAAAATTTCTTGATCTCACGCTCGACTTCACCCTCACTCAAGTAGTTAGTCGTCCAACAAGACTCGAAAATACGCTTGACCTCGTCTTTTCTACTACTCCCGAGTATATTCGAAACATTATTCATTCACCAGGATTAAGCGACCATCAACTCTTAAGCATGACTATGTCATTACCTATTATTCGGAAAATGCCCACTCAAAAATTCATTAAAGATTACAATAAAGGAGATTTTGAATCCATCAATAATGAACTACAAACTTTTTACACAAACTTCAGCAGGAACTTTTATTCCAGATCTGTTGAAGAAAACTGGAACCTTTTTCGAAATAAAATAAACAGTCTCATCAACATTTTTATACCAACAGTCCTTATTAAATCCGACGGGAACCACCCCTGGTTTGATAAGACACTAAAAATACTACGAAACAAAAAGAAACGTATGTATCGCAAAGCTAAGCGCACTGGTCACGTTCAAGACTGGGACACACACAGTCAACTTTCAAAGGAATATGCAAAAAATATTAAACGGGCCAAGGAAAAGTTTTTATCTTCCGACATGCCTTCCATTCTTCGTTCTAACCCAACCCGATTCTGGCAACTCCTGTCAACTAAATATCACTCCCAATTTTTGTCGTTGACAGACAGCAATAAAGATCCCATCGTTGAGAACGAAAGCGCGACAGCCTTAAACGACTTTTTCATTTCTGTTTTCACGGACGGAGGCCTTGGCGAAGTAGCATCTCCCTGTTCATTGTCTAGTGCCATCATGCCACCTATTGTCATTTCATCTAATGGAATAAGTGCCTTAATTGACAAACTAAAACTATCATCATCTGCTGGCATGGATAACATCAGCACCAAAATCCTTAAAAGCACCAATATTGTTTCAAGTGAGTATCTATCACTAATTTTCTCCCAATCACTCTCAGATCGCAAAAGACTGGAAAATTGGAAAAATCATCCCCGTCCATAAAAGTGGTGATCGATCACTTGTATCTAATTATCGCCCCATTTCTTTAACAAGCGTTCCTTCTAAACTATTAGAGCATATAATCAGCTCGAACATAATAAGTCACCTTAACTCGATTAATTTTTTCTACCCACTCCAGCACGGTTTCCGTAAAGGTCTCTCGTGTGAAACCCAACTTGCAGAGTTTACTCATGACCTACTTGTTAACATGAATAATAATTACCAAACAGATGTAATATTTCTCGACTTCGCGAAGGCCTTCGACCGTGTTCCGCATCGTCATCTACTCACCAAGCTTTCAGTTCTTGGTATTGATTCGACCATCATCGCTTGGATTCAGGATTTTCTCACCTCAAGAGTTCAGTTCACATTGGCTAATAATCACAAATCACCCCTTGGTAAAGTAGCATCAGGAGTTCCCCAGGGTGCAGGACTCTCCCCACTACTATTCTTAATATGCATAAACGACCTTCCTCATGACATCCTTTCGAAAATTAGGCTATTCGCCGATGATTGCGTGATATATCGCCCACTCACAAATGATTCAGATCATCTCATATTGCAGGACGACCTAACACAAATTAATACCTGGTGTGAAGAATGGCTTATGCCTCTGAACCTGGACAAGTGTAAAGTAGTTTCGTTTACCCGGAGAAAATCTACAGATACGTATTTATATTCACTCGGCGGCACCCCAATTAATACTTCAACTTCATATAAGTACTTAGGAGTGAATTTAACCTCAACGCTTTCTTGGGTTCTACATGTCGATAATATTATAGCTGAGGCATCACGCACACTTGGATACCTGAAACGTAATTTAAAGTCCGCGCCCAGTCACCTTAAGAAACTTGCATACATAACATTCGTTCGACCAAAGCTTGAATATGCGTCATCCATCTGGCACCCTTCTCAAGCTTACCTCTCTGATAACCTGGAACGCATACAAACCCGCGCAGCCCGATTCATCGCATCAGCTTATACTCATGACATCAGTGTAACCCAACTTAAAGAAACTCTAGAACTGCCCTTACTGTCCAGTCGAAGATTGAACTCTCGGTTATGTTTATTGCATAAGTTCTACTATAACTATCCATACTCCCATACCACCCCTCTTGCTCCTCCAGACCGAGTATCATCACGCCTTAATCACAGTCAATGCATCAAGCGTATTGCAGGCAAAACGCTTGCCTTCAACACTTCCTTTTTCCCTCATGCAATAGCCATCTGGAACTCCCTTCCCGACGACATTGTAGTCATCACTGACCCAATAAGGTTTCGCCAGGAAGTCTCTTTACACAACCACTAACCATTCCCGACTAAACCATATCAGTACTTTGTGTTTTTTACTATTGTTATTTTGACTCTCTCCTTTTCCTATTTTTGTCGTTTTCAAGTGTCAAAGTGTATTTTAGTTCTCGTCTACTCCCCCCCTTATGTAATGCCCCACCCGGGCCCTTAAGGATAAATAAATGAAATGAAATGAAATGAAATTATGGAGCAGTAAAAAGTACTTTTGGAGCACACTCATCATTTTTATTCGTACAACTGTGAATATTATATGTTGAGATTTGTGTGTTGGCCTATCCAACTGAAAAACTTGCATGCTTTGCCTTCACACTTCTGTGCAACGGCAGGTTTGATTTCCTCAAACACAAAACTAGCTATTTAGCACAAAGAAACACTAGGCATTGCAACGAGATGCTGGTTGATGGACAGTAAGGACTGCTCTGCATGGTCATTTTAGGTATGAAATAAAGTGCAAACCAAGTAGTATTTTCCACTAGAATCACGTTAGAATATCTTGAGCACACAAATTGATGTTTCACTCCAGTTCTAAAAGTTGTAAAAAAATAAAACAAAAAAATCCTAATGTCGATTTAAACAAAAACTTGTCAATAAATTATGAAAATCAATGACGTTTTGTATGTGGAACCTCATAATAACAAAGATCTGCATGTGAACGATAAATATGCCTTCTTAAAACAATGCAGCCAAAGTTGTTAAGGTTATTCCCAAGCTTCCATCTACTCCTTCACCTAATTTAGTTTTAATTTATTCTCATGACTGTACCTTGAATGGATAGAACATATAAAAGGGTGACAACTAAACAGATTTGAAATAAAAAATAAACCATTGGAGCAGTTCATATGAATCTTCTTGTGAGTACCCTCGCTAAATCCCGAATTTGAAAAAGATATCGCCAGAATACCGCAGTCTATCATATATAATTGCTGCAGTTTAATTCAAAAATTTTTACTGCAACTAAGATCTGTTACATCAACACTTACTAAGTTCCTTTTCTTAATATACCCGACGCTTTGTGTTTAACGTCCTGCTCAGGGGGAATGCTCCGTCTTTAGCATTCGGATGTACTGCGGCAAAGGAATATAGCAAAATTGCGATGCTCATTTCGCAGTTGCCGTTTTACTGCAGTGCGAGGCGCACTCAACAAAGCTAACTTAAACGCTAGAGCGGACTAGGAACATAAAAGATATTGCGAAAATTCCAAGTACTGTCAGTGTTTGACACTGACAGAGAGGTCAAATAGGATAGTAGGTTATTTGCGGCTATATTCAAAAGTTCTGAAAATTCGCATAAGCCTACCATAACAATCTGAACGTGTAGCGGCGTCCAGCCCATTATATTTTCAGTATTATTAAAGTGAAATCAAATTTTGGCACAACTTTGGCAGAAGTTTCTTACATATGGGCTAAATGTAGCAGGATGTTGTAGCAGGGTAACCCCTTTGGTGCAGTTTAGTGCAAATGGGGCAGCAATCACATCACTGCATAGGTATAGCTTAGTTCACCATAACTTGGAACCTTGTGCCACCCTATGCGGTGAGCATTCGTCTGCTTCTTGTGCACATGGTGCGGTGATGTCAGAACGCCAAGCACCAATATAAAAGGTAGCGGGTAGACTCAAAGGCTACCTGCCTTCGTCCCTAGCTGCTGTCTCCCTCCACTCAGAACGAGCAAGATTGTCGTCTGCCGCTTGCGCAGAGGGAGCTGTGGTGTCAGGGCCAGCATTCAGATGCAAAACACTTGAGTCGTCTGCTAGTCCTAGGAATGGATGGCTTACCTTTTTTACTGCTTCCGGAAACCCACCAGTTCTTTACGAACAAGGGCTTAGCCTTCGGAAAATTCAGATGCAAAACACTTGAGTCGTCTGCTAGTCCTAGGAATGGATGGCTTACCTTTTTACTGCTTCCGGAAACCCACCAGTTCTTTACGAACAAGGGCTTAGCCTTCGGAAAAGAGAGAAAACATACCTCGAAGGGTGTATTGTTTTTTGACAACAAACATTTATTAGGCGGGCTCCAACGAATCAGCAAATCACAACTCAAATGTCATCTTTTCCCCACCGCTGCTGCTGCCAAAGAGCAAACAGCAGCAGTGGGGTCAAACTTCGTCCCGTTTTTCACATACATGATACTCTCTCCCATATGCGAAGAGATGCTTTTTAGAAGGCATAAGTTACTACCCCAGGATTTTGCTCAAGCAAGGCGGGGAAAGCCTCGTAATGGAAATTCACATTCAGATAACAAACACTAAGTTGTGCCAGCTGCTTTCCATTACTATTTGTGTTATGGGCACTATCATTTGCTTGATACTGCCCCTACTGTTTAAGTCTTAGCTTTAACTCAAGACACAACCATTATGTTCCTTTCAGCCAACTGAGTTACAAGTTCAAGAAGGGCACGACTGCCATCTTGTCAAGCAACGTGGTTCCCATTGAGGTTGAAGAGATCACTGTGAGACACCTGGATGCTGAAGCCATGGATACATCTGCTTGAGCATTGGCGGCAACAACAATCTTACTTTCTGAAATAAATCCTAAGGAAAAGCTGTATCCAGTTTCAGGAAAAAGTACTTTTGTAATGGAATGCCAGAGAACACATACTGTAATTGATGAAGGAATGGTACAGCATGTGTTTAGGCATAATCAAATATAGATTTGTATGTCACTTGGGAGTCTGGACAACTTTCTTTGTAATGTATAGAAAAGCACTGAATGGATAAAGGTGGCTTGAAGAACACTGATTTCATAAAAATTTCTTAAAACTGAGTTTTATTTTCAGATGTCACTGACATACCTAAATGGTGTTGTATGTTCGTGCATGTGTGTTGTAGGATAGGGCGAAACTTGGAAAGCGAAGAGTCTGTCTCCTATATAAGAGAATTTCTCTTCTTGCAAGACAACCAAGAACAAAGGAGAAAATGAATAAGGAAAGGAACAGACAAGTGAAAAACTGCCATTAGATGAGTTTGGGAAGTTTTAGCTCTGGGAATATTTGGGGACTTTAGTGGTTCAAGGACTGGGAGAATATGGCCTGCCAACGTGATTTTGCCTAGCCCACTACAGCTCTGCAATAAAATGCGTTTCAGAGGGGCTTGAAGCTAACTTAAAGGGGCACTAAGGTGGATTTGGAGATCGTCTTTTTATGGTGCAAACTCTACACACCCCGAGCATCTTATAAAACCCCAAAAAAACTATTGTGCGTGGCCTTTCTCGCCCTTAAAGGGCAACTCCAGTCAAAAATGAAACCAAAATAAATGACAGGTATTGCTTTAGTGTCGCGAAACATGATTGCAACTGAAATATTAGGTCGAAGTGAAGCCGCATACTCCGCCAAAACAGATTTTAAAGATGCGACCAGCTGCTCTTTAGCGGGCGGCGAGTGGGTCGGCACCCTTGTGACGTCACATTGCGGTGGAGCTGCGGTTGATTAGTTATATACCGCATACTGCAGCATTCTTGGGACGTCGCGGCCGTACGTCTGATGATCAGTGTTGCCATCTCTAGAAGATAGTTTTGGTTTTGCCATAGACGCCTGAAACCAAAATTTGAGCCATGGTATTTATGAAACTACACACGGCATTGAAAAAAAAATTATACCTTGTAATTCAGGGACACTGTCTTAGTTGAAAACAGTCATAATTCCAAATTAAAAAATATTGACTGGAGTTGCCCTTTAAAAACATACCCACACACTGCTACATGCCCCTTTTTCCAAGATGTCTTGGAAAAAGGATTTGTAAGGGCGAAAAAGGCCACACACGATTGTAATTCTGAGTTGTATAGGAATGATGCTCAAGGTGTGTAGATTGGGTTTGCACTATAAAAAGACTACCTCAAAATCTACTTTTGCACCCCTATAATAATATCCAGTCGAACTGGATGAATCAATGTCCTACATAGCAATTCAATTTTCTACCAACTGATGGATCTCCCACTTCCATATTTTGAACTGACTGATATAATCAAAGAAAATTTTGAGGCTCACCCTAGCCAGATGCTATATTTTTCACAAACCAGCAGACTTTTAATTATTGGAAGCTCATCAAATCGAAACATGGTCTTTGGGTTAATTCGTGAACATTGGAAGGCAGTACTTCATTGTCAACAGCGGATGATGCAAGGTAGCATTTAGAAACCTTTGCTGGCTTACAGCCACGAGTTGTCTTGTTAGTCTGTACCTCTCCTATAACATGGGGACAAGAATCTGTGTTTTCGGAGTTTATTTTTCGTGAAATTCGGAGGGTGTTTTTCAGAGTTTATTTTTCACTTAAAATTCAGAGTTTAACGGAGTTAACTTTTGTTAGACTCCCGATTCTTCAAGATTCTAATTACTTTTATTTTTTTATTTTTTAAATGTTTGAACTAAGACATACACTAAATTCATAAAAGAATCACCGCTATCGAAAGATATTTCTGCAGCTGCATTTGGCACATTTGCAATTGGCAGTACTAGCTGCCCTAACACAAATCTTGAAAAGAAGTGTTCCTTCAATAAACGTTGATAATTTGAAATTTCCAAACTCCTAGACACATAAAACCTTTAGCTGCCGCTCCCTTCCCCCCATCCTATAAAATCTGGTTTTTCCACTGTTACAAAAAGAACCCCTCCCTCTAAGAAGCACAAATAGTATGGTCCATACTGGAAACTGGAACAGTACCTTTTGTCGTGGTTCGGAAGTACATTGGCTTATTGCACGATAAATTGCAAGATATTGCAATTTATCGTGCAAGATAAATTGGAAACATATTGCATTTTATGTTGCAAGATAAATTGGAAACTCCCTTCACCCCAAAATTAAAAAAAAATAAATGACTGAATTTTGTTTTTTAACCTTGTGCTTCGACAAACTTTATTCATAAAATATAGCATTTTTTATTTTTATTCAGCCATGGTGACCTTGAAATTCAGAGTTTTTCGGATAAATCCAAATTGTCAAAAATTTTACCGGCGAGTTTTACACGGAAACCCTAGGTACGAGTCATTTCATTCAAGATTTAGATGGGACCAACCTGCAATGATTTCCAAAGTCTGGACTGTGAAGCAGCAAGCCACGCTGCATTTTTCTCTGAAATACTACAAAGTAGGGTTTAATGTTTCCAGAACTTATATGCAAACATCTACTAGTTGTTTTATGATTCAGTTTCTACCAGAAATTTTACAGAAAAGAGGATATCGGCAGAAGTATCCGAGTGTTTAAATGTTTTGACGGGGTGTCGACTAACGGAGACGTGAAATTGTCTCAACACTTGGCCGAAACATGGCAAGTGGGTGAAATTCGCAAGAAATGTTATGCTTTCTTTGACATGTGTGTTCAGAAGACTGAAGCATAGCTTTTGGTGTACTAGTATAGTTTATATTAATAAGCCAAGAATTGCGCAAGTAGTGATGGAAGTTCCAAATCACGGAAGATTACCACCGATATGGCACACAGCTGTCACGTGTTGGTTGTCTAGGCTTCCTTGAAGTCGCTAAAACCAGAAAAAATAAATCCAGCGACTTGACAATATACAATTGTAGTGAACTAATTTGCTAAATACCCGAATCCAGAATTTCCACAAAACAATATCTGGAGCAAGTGTGACGCATATTGATCATGAATTAAAAATTATGCCGAGGACTTGTAAATAGAATGAACCTCTTGCTGCTACCAGGAATCTTCAACACTGCATTCTATTTGTGCTCTTTGCACTGAACCAGCAATTGCCAACACAAATAATAACACTGAACACACAGAAAGCTGGCACCCTTTCAGTGTATCCTTGGTCCTTCTTTCTTCCATTAAACATCTGTCCCATTTTTGTTTTTATAGTGGGTGTAGTTGCTGACAAGATGAGAACAGCAGGGCTTCTCTTTCTGATGCCCCACCTCCAGCACGCGCCCTCTACCCTCGGTCGTACCTTGGCTGCATGCGCACGCTCGAGACGCCGAAGCATTATCGAAGGTAGGAAACTTGCACACTGAAGGTGGGACAGCTGAAGGACATCCTTGCTGTTTTAATCCCGTCAGTGACTATAGCACTATGGCTTATTCGGACATGAAAAAGGATAATTCAACAGTGACACAAATGCAAGTCATTGCCACCATATTTATTTGCAGATTCAGTGAAAACGTTCAAAACTGGCACGGTATGAAACTTGCAATGTTCACAAGAAGTCTCCGAGAAAAAGTTTTGGTTGTACCAGTTGTTATATGAGCCAGGAGACTGTTGCCAGTGCTCTGTAGACCCAGGAGCAGTAAACCACAGACTGCCATCTAATAACAAACAAGATCTTTATTCCAAAAAGGTAGTGTATAGCACTGCAAACCCTATCCTGTTACACACACAGTATGACTACAACAAAGCTTAATACTTCTATGAAATATCACATCTATAAAAAAAAAGTTCACAGCCTCAATGGGGAAAGAATTCAACCAAAAGAGTTTCAGTATGACAGAACTAGTCACAAGTTTTGTTGATATGGGCCAACAATATGGGTGCTGTGCACTTTTACGGTAGTATTCATAAATTATCAAGTGGCCTTCATGAACCAATTTCACACAGATTTCATGCAGTCCACTATACTACATGCTTGTCAGGTAGTATTCTTGGCACTGTTTTCAATATGTCAAGACAATTGTTCATACTGTAAGACATAGAAATATGGAAAGTTCCCAGCTCCTTGCATTTAGTTTGAGCTGTTCTATATAACATTCAAGTTATCCAGCGTAGTTGCTCAGATGGTCACAGAATTTGAGGTGGTGCAACCAGCATAATTTGCTCCTATGGTGAGTATAAATAAATAAATATATATAGTATAAACTTTACAGTTGCTAAGATATTGACGTTGAAACTGTGCCAACAGCTGCTCTCCGTGCCTCTACTTGTAAGCGGAGAAGCGAAGGAAAACAATAAACTCGCTGAAGGGCATGCATACTTGCGTGACGCTAGTGCATAACTGAAGATATTGAAATTTTCTCTAAGGCAACTACTATATACTTTGTTAAGAATGGTTTTACAAACCCACTCGGTCAGTGGGCCCAATATTTTACAGAGTGCATGAAGATATATCAGAACATGCTGAAGATGGTGCTTGTCATTTTCCTCACTTGTTTTGCGGATCTTTGCAGATTGATGCATAAGAACGACAGGGGGGGACAAAAATGAGATTAGCAGTTAAGTGTTGGAACACTGCACTTTGGCATCCCAGCTTTATCTACCATGTGACACACAAACATGAAAAGGACACAATAACATACTATTGCATGATATTGTAATTTATCTCCATAACTAGGGTTCTGTGTTTTCAGAGTTTGTTTTTGAGAAATATGGAGGGTGCTTTTTGGGCTTTACTTTTGACACCCAATTGCATTTTCTGAAGGTTTTGCTTGCAATAATAAAAAAAATTCTGAATTTTTAGTTTGGTGGTATTTGGCTTTTTATTTGAGATATTTTCATGCCTTCAGAATGAAATTGTTATTTTTTGAAAACAAATATAAAGCATAGGACGACTCTCTTTAAAGGAGCTAGTTGTTTGTTATTCAGCTTACCGTGAAGCACCCCAGAAATGCCCGCTTTGTTCAAGCATCCACTATTAACATGTTCCAAACTTTGGAATTCTGCAAATTAAATGTCAAGCACCCGATTTGATTGGACAAGCACCCATGTCTAGATTAATCCAGTTTTCAGTGAAAGTGGGGTGGGCGCTCCAACGGTATATTACGGTATGTGTGTTCTTGCCTGAAAAAATTGTTACCTTATATACAACTTGTACTACTGAGTTTTTTTTTCAGCGAGTTTGTCTCCAAGCTCCATGTCTTTGGCAGTGTGGATTTTGAGTTTGAAGCCAATAGTGGCTTTGGCTGAATATTTACAAATCAAGTACTGAATAGTTTCTTAAAGCTTTTCACTACTGCAACATGCTTAAAACAAACACCCGGCTGAACTTGTGAAGGTTGTTGCCAAGCTACCACTTGTCCCTTTCTAAGATAAGTTCATTTTAATATAATTAACTATATTTAATGACTGTGGCCTCCAAAAGCCCAATGCCTACAACAAGATGGCAAGTAAATGACGAATTAGATAGAAAATTAAACCTATAGCCCAGCTATACATAGTCAAGGGGATTTATAAATATTCTAGCTGTATGCAACTATATTTTCTTCAATCATGTATGATCATGGGCATACCAACTGGGGAGGCAAGGAGGGCTCTTACCCCTCCCCCCCCTCCCAGTTCTCAGAGTGGGGGGACAAGGCATGTGTTTTGCCCCCCTGAAACAGCCGCCACTGGGCAGGGCAAACACTGGCCGGCGGCTTCTAAGGGATACCAAGGGCACCGTCCCCCGGCCCTGGTTTGTCCCCCTACTCAAAAACAAGTTGGTACACCACTGCGTATGATTAACACAAGTTGTCAGGGCATCTCTGCTTAACATATACTCATGCATGCCAGTTTAATTTTGAAAATTTCACTGGAATGTAGATATCAACATTCATGAAGTTTGCTTCTTTATAAATGCATCAGGCGCACAAGCGCACCATCACACTTTGGAAATGAGCATCTCTCCTTCCTAAGCACGCGGCTGCGACATATATACTTTTGAAGTATTGATCGCAGCGGGTTAGCCCAGTTAAGTGTGCTTCTTACCAAGCACTGGTGCACTGCAGAGAAGCCACACTCGCAAAAGCGAGCTCCGCGGATGTTGCTTTCCCGCAGTGCACCTGTGCTCGGTAAGAAGCGCGCTCAACGGGGTTAACCTACTGCAATCAACACTTCAAAAAATATGAATATCTCAGTTCATCTCAGAGCAAATATTGAATAGCGTATTATTTGAAACTACTATTAGAAAATTCGAATATTTGCACAACACTAGAGCATTCTAGAAAGCGTGTCTTATGGTTGTAGACACCAGAGCTGGCTTGCTCAAAATGGGCCCAAACAAAGTTTTGCCTGAAACGCGGAAAAAGAAAGCATTACCAAAACCTAGTGCACAGGTGCATGGAGACGACCGTTTGCATTCCATTCTGCTTGTATGTTAGCCTTGAACATCTTTATTTTTTTTAGCCCTTTGAGCAAAAATTATTTTTTCGCTTGTTTCGAGTGAGCCAACCCATGCAACACAGAAATTAAATTTCCTGCCTTTTGTATCAGATGACAGCAAATGGGTCAAAACAGGGCTCTCATTTTCTGTCACATGCCAAAGAGAAATGTAAATATAAACAGAAGTAAAAATGTCAACCCAGGATCCTTGCGAGACAGACATGACAAATGCATACAATACTATTTTAAAGTCAGAATTAAAAAAAGAAGTTTTATAGACAAACTACATAACACAACTTTAGCTAGTGCTTGTCAGATTTTTATTTCTTTGATCTAAAAACGCAGAACCCTGTCCACAACTAACCACTCTTACGAAAATGAGGATTCTTTGGTGAGTCATGCACTAAACTTGTAGAAAGTCCTTTGAATAAAATATAGGGGTAAATCCACTTAATAATGGCACAGCATCTCGAGGTATGTCAGCATATTCACATGCACTACTTGTACCTGCCACTATTAGCCCCGAGAGCGAACACAAGCGTCGCTGCGGTCGCCGCGCCCTGATTGGGTGAGGTGCACCGTGACGTCAGGAGGAGGACTCCGCTTCGCGATCTCGCGTCGGCTCGCTTCCCAGCTACAGTTTCCTGGTTTGGCGGTGTGCCGCAAGCTCTTCGAGGAGCTGGACTTCGTTTACTCAGTGTACAAGACGTTGAGTTAGGCCGATATTGACGTGCTTCCGTACATTTTATAAGCCTGCTTGTCCCTTTTACCTTTAAAATTGGGTTACAAATCCCGAAAGCTATCGGCGGAGGCAATTCCGCCGATGAACCTCTCCGTCCGTCTACACGACACAAGGCAATCTTGCGAGGGGTCGGTGAAGCGGTGGCGCAAGTGTTTCAAACGCTGGAATTATGTTCCTTGCATGTTCATGATTTAAGACGATATTACGTCCCGCTTTTAAGGCATTTGAAGTGGCATTTATAACATGGGCCTTTGAGTGGTCGGCAAATCAGCTCGCGACCCCGACTCTGCGCTACCTTTCTGCATGCGCTGGTTCGCAGATGTTTTGGAGGCCCTGTGTCTGATTATCTTTGAAGTGCTCGTGGAACAGGGTTGTTTTACATAAATGCAGCTTCTTCGTGAATTAATTATATAGTTTATACACGTATGCAGGCATATTTCCTATAAGATGCACAATTACTGGAAATTAGTTTGTATGGTAGCAGAAAAAACGGCCGAATTGCCCCCAGTTGCCTGTATGATATGTATTGAACTGCCCAAAATATGCACAGCAATAGTGCCGTAATTTGGAATGTTTATACTTTTTCCTGACATTCTTTATTCCAGCCTTGGGTATTCGGAAAATACACCGTTTAGTCTGAATTGTAATTTCCAATTAAAAGAGACACTGCTGCAGGTCCCCAAAATCTTCCTCAGCCTTCAAACTCCCTACAGCTGGACTCTCTGACAACAGAGGAAAACAGGAGTAAAAGCAAGCATTCGAACGTCTGTCCAGTGGTAGATGCAGCACTAGTAGCAGAAAATGTGAAACCTGTGAAGGGCGACAGTCTGCGTGAGAAAAGCTTCTGGTATTTTAGCTTCAGTACAATTCGATTTAAGTAAAATCTTAATTTTAGGGCTTAAGGGACTAATAATGAGCTAGACACCTTCGCTTACGTTTGTTATACATTACTTGAGGGCTGATATAAACAATTCCACAGATACCACCCGTGTAGTCCATTGAATTACTATCCCAATCCAGCAAAGGTCAAATGCGAGCAATGTATATAATAAATGTTCCTTGTTTTCTTACTTTGCCCCTGCACTTGGGCTGACTGACTTGTGATTCTCTCCCCATGGCCCAGACTGTATCTAGCATGCTGCTCGAGTACCATGCAGCTTTTTTGCTTCGGCGATCTTGTTTAAACACAGAGATAAAAAAAAAATAAAAAATAGTATACATAACCTGCCAATTCATTCAGACCATCAGCAGCATTTATTGTGCGAGATGTAAATCTATAGTGATGCTCCTGCAATTGTGACCATATTTCTTGATTTTCATATACCAGCTGTGATTCAAACGTTGCCTGCCCTGTCAACCATGCTTAAAAGGTTGGTTGAAGTTTCGCCTGTAGCTACAGGCCATGCCTCAGTAAAGGCGCAAATAAAAATTTACACTTCCTACGAAAAGCACGCCAAAAAAAAACTAAATAGAAACGAGCGCGCCGACAGCTAGCATCGTCACAGCCTCCACAGGGCGAGCGGGTCGAGTCGGTAAAATAATCTCTCCTCGCCGTGACGTCACTCCGGTTCACCGTAAGGGGGCGCCACGCGAACTTCTCGGGGCTAATAGGCCAACGTGCCGTTCACACTCAAGTCCACGTTTGCCCACACTAAGGACACTGCGTGTGAGCAGAAACCAGATTTGCGTGCCTGTGAATGTGCCGTGTCGACAACGGTGCCACTGCAGCCACATGACGTCAGAGCCGCATGTTGTGCATAGACCAATTAGGCTATGTTAGGTTGGCGTTTCTGTGGAAATCGACTGGATACGTCCAACATACACATTTCTCGACATTCTCTCAAGTAAATTTGCCAGATACGTCTAATGTGCCCCTAAACAAATTGAATGAATGCGTCCGAGACAGCGTGATAGCAAAGACATTTCTTTTGCAGTTTCGTTTGCTATGTCAGCAGCTGGTTGTGGGTGGATTGGCAAACCAGTATATGAAGTATTGGCAGTTGGCAAGACGGTGTTTGCTGTAACATTAGTTTGTTGCAACTTCAGGTGCTGCTGCTGCATTATTACTTGCTTGACGGTGTACAAAACAGGTGAATGAGAAAAAAACAAAAGACACCACTCTTGTATAAAACTAGGCATTAGATATCTCCTCAAGGTAACCATTAAAATACATCTTCAGCATGTTCTGAGTCAACTCTTCTTTTTCTGTCATTGCTCTTATTTGCAATTACACGGTGCTCCAAAAACTGGTGCACACACACACAAATAGCCTTTACTAACTTGCAGGTCGCAGAAGATATCTCGATTTGGAAAAAGTGTTAAGTAAAAGCTCCCCCTTTACTATTTTTTTGAGCAGCTCCCATTTAAAAAAAAATTAGTGTATGGGTGATTCAATCACAGACTTACATGCACTAAGATACCTTGTAGAGACAGAGATTTTTTTTTTTTTTTTTTTTATAGGAAATAGATTACTAGAATTCTAAGCTGGAAGCTGATCATGTTAATACAAAGACAAAAGTTTTGAGGAAAATAAAAATAACAACAAAAACCAAACCTTTTGAACCTTTAGGAACCTACATCTTTTACTAGCTATAGAACGCTTATAATCCCTCCCAACTGCATGACTTCTAAAGGAACACTAAAAGTAGATAAAAACACAAAACCATCTGACAGGTCTGAGTGTTCTGAAAGTACCCGAAGGTGCCTCCAAACTTACAACTTGCAGAAATAATTTCAATAGTATTTGATTCCAAAGATATTGAGCCGAAATTCTGTGGACATTGAATAGCGGTCTACCTACAAAAATGTTTTATGCGAAAGTGATAAAGCTTACAGCGATTAACTTATGCCACACAGCACACTTCGAAGCAGATTCAGAAACCTTCTAAAAAATGTGCTTTCAATTGCAGTGAATGTTCAAGAAGTTAAGGTATTTTTTCGTAAGTTTGGGAACTGGTGTTCCCAGCACAGCAATGCTTTCGAAGACCCATGAAACTGACACGTCTCTTCATCTTAACATTTCAAAACTTGCCACAATGAAATGCTGAAAAAAAAATTGCTATACCATAAAGAAGTTCTCTGGCACAAAGGTGTACCAGGCGGTTTGTGCTATCTGCGTGGCTCCTCAAATGGATAATCCGTTGCCACATAGCCTTGCAAAAAAAAAACACTGAAAATTTTGTCCGACGACATAAGAAGAGCAGAATTTCGGCAACCCAAGCACTCTTCTGCAGTAACGCTTCTTAAAAGAATGTAACAAAAGACTGCCAGCAAGGCATGTTTCAGATGTTTGCGAGCAATATTTTTAGTTTGTCTGCCTAGTGGGATAAGGCCCAAGGGGCACTTACATCCATGCTGCCGACAGCATGTCACTCAAATCATGCTCTTTCCAGCATTATGTCCTGTTCTTTCACAGTGCAAAGGTTTAGTATGAACAATCTGTCAGGCTTTGTCACCGCCGATACTATGATTGCTCTCTTTGGTGCATTGGTTTGTAACTGTGAAGTTCCTTTCTGAAAGGAACCTAGTCAGACCCTCTGAAGAGACCATTCGCTGCAGCATTCCACCATTAAATCTTATAACTTTCTTGACTGCCTCTTCACACCCGTTCCTTTGTTATTCCTTACTAGCAGCAACAACTATTTTCTAGGAGAACAAAGCTGTAAATTTTGCGTGTGTGCACCAGCTTTCAGAACCCAAACAAGGTGCTCATTCGTTGTGGACGACACGCTGGTGCAAGCTCTCACTGTAAGTTACAAAGGAGGAGTAAACATGCAGGACAAATGCATTGACACGCGCATTTGAAAGAGACGCCCGTGTTGTATTTTTTGTCTCGTATGCTTACTCTTCCTTTGTAACTTACCATCACCAACTGCAGTTGCTAATAAACTCTGACTGGCCGGCTCTCACGGTACCGCAGGCCTGACCAGCTGCACGGAGTGCTTCTCTGCGTGGTAGATGCGGAAAATCTGGCTCAGGATAGGTGCAGTGTCCGAGTCGTTCAGCCAACGGGAGGCGCAACCAGGGTTCTCCAACATCTGTAGAAGTGCTGGAAGGGCAACCATTTGTTTACTTAATTAGATAAGAGAGAAAGTGATCAGCCATGATGCAGCTGTTGCCAAATTTTAAGCCTCATGCCCCACAAGCAAGACCCCAGGGACACTCCAGACCCGTCCCTTGCTCTTCAGGTTTTCCTTCCAAGAGACCAAGGTTCCCCCTTCTCTCTCTCAGATAATGCCCCTCAATGTGCTCGTGTTTGTCCTGCAAGTAGCATAAAATGCGCCAAAGCATAAGGTCTGCACCTTGTGCAGCCCTCAGAAGCAAATTGTGGCGCAGCACTCGCTGGAGGAACGTGTTTTGCGCGTTTGCACAGGAATGGTTGTCAGTACTTGAAGAAATGAAAAAGCGAGAGGTTTATCGAGGGGCTCTGCTCTCAAGAGCTGTGTGTTACCCCATGGTGGCCACCTTGAGCATCTACCTATATATGGTTTGTGTTTTTAACTTTCTGAAAAGGAAAGTGGAAACCAATATTGACGTCTGGCACGATCTAAGCACATGAGGAAAGAGTACAATAGGGCTAGCAAAGAAATGAATGCAACCGGTACCAATTTAGCAATAGTTCCTGCAATGTTGAAGTTTTCGTCGGAAAGAATTTGGCATGTGGTAAGCCCGTAACATGTAGTAATGTAGTGATTTGAGCTAGTTGGTACTTCAACATGATAAAACAGTGCACAGAACACGAAAGATGAGAAAAGGACAGATAGACAGCACTCTTTCATTCTATCTGTCCTTTTCTCTTCCTCCGCATTCTGTGCACTGTTTTATCATGTTCACATAATATGGCCTAGGTAATAGTGATGCTGATTCTCAACACTACCCCCCAAAATAGTCAAAGCACTAACTGGTCTATGAACTGAGGTATGGGTAAAGCACAAAGCAGTACAAAAAAGAACCTCGAGTCACCTATGCAGATATTTAAACAGGGACCAGGAATGTTCAGGCATCAGGAAGATAGTCTGCGTTGAGACTTGTGTCTTTGTGGCAGAGAGGCGAAGATGCACCAGACTGTAGTAGTGATGATTACACAAGTAATTACACAATGTCTGTCCATATCGACACTAGTAGAACTGGGATTTGAACTCTTATGTCCACCACTGCAGTGCAAGTTTCTGCTTCATGCACAGTGCATCAACACATCCCTGCCACTAAACGTCCCATATAATTGCACACTTCAGAGTCACGCTATAACTGGAAGCCTTTTCTCCATGTTTTGCTTTCTCCTCGCATAGGGCTTGGTTTCACTAGTTTACTCCCAATTTCCGACAGCCTGACCAATTTTCTGCAACTCTCCAACCATCGTTGGCGGCCTGCTGTCCCTTTCCTTGACTTAGGGGAGCGCAGTTCGCAGTTCACAGATGGCTTCCATACCAGTATCATTTTGGCTCTTTTGCAATATGCTTCGTCCTTACATGCTGAATGCTGCTGAGAGATAAGCATGGTAGATTTTTTTTTTTTTTTTTTGCAAAACTGCACATGTGAACTTACAAAGGCATCATCATCACTGAAGCTGGGAAGGGAACATAATGATGGTGACTGTATGACAATACACAAGCAGTTTTGTGACAAAAAATTCATATTAAATGTCCTCAAGGTATCAGTTGCATTGCTCTCATCAAACAAGGAGCTTACAACTGAAATAAATGTTTTTATTAAACATGAAAAACAAACAATGGAAAAGGACACAGATATCTGAGGCCAAGGTATGATGCCTCATCACGTAAGTTTTGCTGTAGTAATACAAGGACACAGATGTATGGTGGGTCATGTCCAAGGCATTCATTATTGTTTACATGCCGCCTTACTATTTGATGCGACATGACACTCCTACCTAGAAGTGTCTTGGGTGAACACAGGCCCAGCTGCACCACTGGGTTGGTGGTGATGGACCGGTAGATGGCGCTGTCCCTGTCGAGGCCCGCCTGCAGGTCCGCTGGCTTGGGACGCCGGTCCCCAAGCAGCCACTCGCACTGGAACGGGGCAACGTGCAAAAAGATGGTATGACAGTCTGTTTTTTCAAATTCAGAGGCATTGCCAAATATCTACAGTTCTATGCCACATAAAAGGACATACGTCACCAGGTCACCTCCAAAAGTAAGCTATTTGTCGTGGAAAGCACTTGAATACAGTGTCGAAACACCCAACATTTAATCTGTCACTAAAGAGTCTCCTAAAGTAAAATTTTGGGGTTTTACGTGCTGCCAACGAAGGGCATCTGGCGCACCTCAGCGAAGGTGAGGATAAATTTCAACCACGTGGGGATCTTTTGACATGCAACAGAAATCTCCATTACACGGCGCCTACTCTGCAACAAGCCTCTGTCAGATTCCAGGCAGCTTGGCTGGGATTCAAACCCGCCAAGAACCACTGAGGCAACTCCAAGAAAAACGAACAAATCGAAACCAGAGTACGAACTTAGAGGAACATGCTGTCAGACTCTGGTATTCACTCGGACGGTCACGTCCCACAAACTGTGCATTAAAATTTTCTGATTATTTTCTCATGATTATTCTAGGTAAAGCTGGCTATAACCAACTTGCTGAGTGGGGCGGGCAATTGGTCAGCTCGGACAGCTGACTGACTGCTGAGCATGTTGTGGTTATCAAGAAGCAAGCTGAAAATCCCTTACTAATTTCATCAGTGTAGCACTCTACGCTTCTGAGGTTATGTCTGGGCCGAGGGTAAAAAATACCGTTGTCAGTTTAGACTAGTAACCAAGAGATGGAAAATCTGCCCTGATGCCCATCCAAAATGGCCACACAGCAATCAAACGCTTCATATTTCTTTGCACATCATGCGACTATGAAAGCATGAGTCGGCGACTTGCAGCTTGTGAGTAGTAATCGCCAAAACATGCCCAGCAAGCAGTCAGTCATCCGAACAACTCAAACACGTTCCCAAACGGTCTCTAAAGGATATGTACGTCTAGTTATATAACGTCCGCTATCGGTTCAACAACTACGGGACTAAACCTCTTTCTGCAATGATTATCGCAGAAGTGCTGACTATCGCAGAAAGTGGTTTAGTGGCCCTTTAAAGAGCAACTCCGCTTCATTTTTGTTTTTGAAAAAAAAAATTGCAGTCCCCTTCAGTATCACTTAAAAAGAGCACACACCAAATATTACAGCCAAATTCTGTCTAAATGTTTCTTAGACAATCCGGCGAACATTGTAATGCGCCAAGTTGCCGAAATCAGCTGACTCTAGCGCCCGAATTGAGGCACAACCAACAGCGCAGTCAAAACTATGTCGTTGGCGTAGCCATCATTGAGCTAAATGTCATCACCACTGCCCCTTTTTGCTTGCTTTTACTTCTGCAGGCAAGCGTAACGGGTGACACCAGCAACGTTCCATCTCGTCGCTCGGTGCTATCCACTGATTGGCGTAACAGGCCTGTGTAGCGCGTTTCTTGTGAGCGGTCAGGCTGTCCTGCCGTTACCGCCTTAACAACTACCATATTCAGCGCATCGTTTGTCATTATTGTCTCTTGGGGTTTTGTTCACACTACATGCACAGACTGATGCTGCAGTTGTGCAGACTTTGTCGAATGTTGTAGACACCAAAACGTGGTGAAAAGTGCGGTGCAGATGGCACTCGTGCCTAGCACACGCCCACCCCAACAGTAGCCCGCCGGCCCACCCCAAACCCTACCGTCGTTGCGTAGAGGATCACGTGACATCTCATACCACATGATAGCCACGTTTTTGGCAGTCCAAGGCCAATGACGCCACACAGAGTAGAAGTTTTAGTTTCGATTTCTGCTCATGTTTAAAGTAAGATTTAACAACATATATCCCATTTTTCACAAAGCAAATGACATAATGCCTTTTATTAGTGTTTTAATGTGAAACCATTCATTATCCTGGAATTGAGCAGAGTTGCCCTTTAACATTGGGGCACACTGTATGTTTAGGGGTTAAAAGCGCTAAAAACGACGGACGTGTGGTTTTCTCAATAATAAACCAGTTGCAAGTAGTGCTCTGTGGTGTGTGTCTCTCCTACTCGTCCGTCGTTTTTAGCGCTTTTAACCCTTAAACATGTTCAACCAACTAGCCCAAATCCAAACCCTTCTGCAACACACTGTATGTTATCCATAATAAACCTGAGACGAAGGAAAAATAAAAAAACGGACAGTACAACGAAGTCTCTTCGTTGTACTGTCCGTTTTTTTATTTTTCCTTCGTCTCAAGTTTATTATGGATACCATTCACCAGCTCGCCTGTGTTTTTTACCTTTCTTCACACTGTATGTGCTACATGAATTAGCAACAATCAATTTCGAGATAGGTTAACAACGTTAACAACGTACTGCGGCTTCTTGGCTGTTGCTGTGAATCCGGAGTGCATCCAGAATGGCAGTTTCAGGAAACCCCATCTCTTTGAGAGTGATCATTGCCTGGAGAGCACGGTGGAAGATTTTAGCTGGCATAAGGGCTTGCCAAGTAACAACAGTTTGCAATTTCGTGTGAAGGGATACTGATGCATACCTTCCTGTTTGGCTTGAAATCTTTTCGTTTGTACTCTTGAAAGCATTCTAGCATTGCGTGAACAATGCCTTCACGACTGCTCTCTTCTGCATTCCTGGTAGCACCACATGAAGGACCATCTTTTTCTGAAATGACGTGATTTAGCATGTTAAAAAAAATAAACTGTGATGAAAAAAAATCTAACACACAGATAGACAAGACAATGTACCAATTTATAGTTTTTATGTCATTCTGAAGCTTGGAGTTGTCCAGGCATTTCATGAACAAACTTTCGGCATTGCAAAGCAAGCTTTACTTCATTTTGGTCCCTAAGTATGTGCAGTGTCCAGAGTTATCATGCAAGTTTTCACACAGTGAGCTAGTGTACAGACAAGATTATGATGCCATCCAGTAACAAGAAAAAAAAAAAGAGTGGTATTCTCTTCACATTATTCCTCAAATCCTGCAGTGTCCAAAAGCATTATAGCAGAATGAAAATCTTGTCACAACGTAAATCCATGCATACTACTCTCACTGTCGCTTCACAGTATATTGCACAGGAAAAGAAAATGCACATTACTTTACGTTACTCTACTAGAAAGTTGGTATTCCTTCAAAACTTGTTAGAGAAACTTTACAGCAAAATTTTAAGCAATGACCTTTGGTATTTCTTCAAAACTTGTTAGAGAAACTTTGCAGCAAAAATTTAAACAATGACCTTCACTGTCTATGTATTTCAATTCATTACCTATTCAGGACAGGAAAAAGACATGCAACTAAATTATTTATATTTTGCTTCTTGTAAAAAAAGACAAGGAGTGAACTACCACTCGACTTACCACTGTTGCCAAAGTTTCCCTGTACGCCGGTATTTGATGGCTTTAAGCCAGAATCCGAGGTTTGTTCACCTTCTCGCTTGCATCCTTTAGCAAGGAGTGACTCCATAGCAAGCCTCGGGCACATTCTACAAACCAATGCAAAGTTTCAGAGTACAGTAGGAGCGTTATATAAGGTATTTGTAAGGAAAGTGAGCCAAATTTTTGTACTGAATAAGCTAGCTGCATTGTGAAAACCTTGTGCTCTATTCGGTTGTGACGCCAGCAGTTGAGGGAAGATGTAGTAAGTTTCAAAATATATACTTACCTAATCAAAAATTCAAAAATGATATTCAAAATATTTAAATTAGTAAATATGGCTTCCATTTAAAGGGTGACTCTTGCCATGCAGCTGCAGAGTTGCAGTGCCATACTGCAGCCCCTTTGTTTTGGGCATAGCTTCTAAAGCATATTGTTATGCTGCTAGTGCTACTGCCGAAGATGCAGCATGTGACTACAGCATTTGACTTTAGTGTTGATTGAGATACTAAAATTCTAACAGCTAACAATGCAGGCTGTCAATCCTTCCTGCGTGCTTCGACATTGAGCTCCAGTGCAAAAGCGGGTGCTGCCTTGACGCAGCCCTCGACATGTTATGTGACCCAGCATGACAGGTTGGGCACTACATGCCACGCTTGGTACAGCTCTCTGTGTTCCCTAGGGCGTCCCGTGAGTGCTTTTCGTCGCCATAGCCCTTTTGCTTTGAATATGCCGGTGAACGATAATAAAATTTAATACCTTCAGATGATATTCGAAGTAGAGAGAAACAAGAAACACAGAGTATTCTCCGAAAAGACTGGCATCAGGATGTCTACATCCATTGTTAGCCGACATGAACGCAAGGGTCTAGCGGTTGAGGTGATGTTCCATTAATTACGAAAAAAAACAACAAAAAAAAACAGCGCTTTACCAGAATGAGGGGTTTATCCAAGATTGTCAATCTAGGGAAGGGGAGGGGGGGAAGTAACACATTTCTGGGAGCAGTTCTAGGGGGTGTACACCATAGGTTTGTGCACTTTGGGAAGATATTCTGGGGGTCTGTTGGACACAACCAGGGGGTGGGTGTCAGGGGGAAGTTGGGAGAATGTGTATAAATTACTGCCAAAAACAGATATATTGAGGGCATTTCCATTATTGCATTTATAGATATGAAGGTCCTATCTGTCACCACACCTTACCGTGATATACCGGGCAAGCGCCCACTCAAACTTTGGAGATAATCGCAAAAAAATGGGGGATGGGTGCTTGTCCGGTCCTCAATTTTACATATGAATGTACTGTGTGTATTTTCTCAAATCACACAAATTTGGTAATGGGCACTTAATGTGGAATGGGCGGATGTGCGGTATGCTACGGTAGATACATGGTGTAGTGACATTCTTCGGTTCCAATTTCCATCTTCCATGAGCCGCCACCACCGGGTCCATATCAGAAGTAGACGTTATTTGTCTCCGTATATTCACTTTGCGCACTCGACACCATATTTTCACCATTTCGGAAAATTGTTGACTCACTTGTTCTCCTTCAGGGCTTGAAGAGATAGTTGCTCCTCAAATCCCATGTCTGTCAATTTCTTCAGAGCATTCAGATCACTGTCATCACTACTAGGTTGGGTGAGTTTGCCTGAAACAAATATAGAAGAATAAATTCTGACACTTCCTTGATACCTGTAACCGACCGTAATCTATTTTATATATCTTGTTCAGAGGATATCTCGTAAAATTATCTCGTAAAATCTTACACAACCGGCATAAAATTTGGAGACAATCTTTCAAACCCGATCGACATAAATGACCAAACATGTAGAACTACGACTTACTTGGCAAGTTCTTGAAGATGTTTTTAACGTCTGGATGATGACGAAGCAACTTTTCGGATAACTCCACAAGTGAGACCAGTATCCTCCTCAATTCGGTATGAAACTGCATAGCATAAAATGAGCTCTCAGGTAGGAGCACAACGACAGAAACGATTTAATTTACGTGAGCCTAGAAAGCTTCATCGGCAAAGCAAGCTTACATCTAGAACTTGAGAAACGTCCACAGCTGGCCTGCCGAAATTCATGGGTTCGACGTTCGCGGTAGCAGATTCTATGGTGGCTTTATCAGGGGGGCCCAGTTTCTGTGGTTGTTTGAGGTTTCAAGTGAGCGTGAGAATTGCAAGCCGCGCTTCAAATAAATTTCTTTCTTAAAAAAGGTGTATAGTAATCATACCTCCGTTGGTTTGTCTGACTTGGAAGGGAAAACAGAATTTCTTTTCAGTAGGAGCACCTCATCTGGAAGACAACACCAAAACGAGTTTCCTAGAAAACGCATTTACAATAACGCAGCTCTTCGTCAGAGATTCATAAATGATTAACTACTCTCTATTAGATATATTGATGTTCAATTAACACGGCAAATTACCTCTGGGTCAACGAACTGTTTACTCGAGAGCAGGAAGTAACTCACCACCGTCCGAAACTTTTTCCTCCCGGACCGAACTGTGATCGGAAAGAGGTCTTGCCTGAGACACCGACACTAGTTTGTAGTATTCTGAGAGCTTTATACAGTCCAATGGGTTGCAGAAATGGCTGAGCGACATCTGCTTGAGCTTCTCGACGGTGTATTCGGGCAAAATATCGACAGTCCACTCCATGCCAGTGTTACTTATGACGGTGATCTTCATGTCTCCCGCACCACTCAGGCTTGTGCTTAGGTAGAGCATATCTTCTTGAAAACAGTGAAGGTGAACTTAACAGAACCGCTAACCTAGGTATGCTTCGTCGCGCATTCACGGCCACGGTTCGCAAGCAACATAGCTGTAAAGTCGCAAAATTAAATATCAGCTGATCGCGACGCGACGCGCACGCCTTTTGGCAGCCACAGCAGCCACAGAGCGATCGATGCGCCAAATACGAGGGTTTTGAGAACCAGTGGAATTAAAAATAATAGGCGTGTCTGCCATTTACAATCGAAACATAAATTAGGTGGGGACTGATAATAATCGTAGGAGGAGTAATATTGGTGTCTTATGCTCTATGCAAAAATATTCTGATGAATATCAAATATGAGCAGTTTCGACTTGGCGGTGCGGCAAATGCGGCTTATCTTCGGGATATAGGATATAGGGAAGCTTACGAACGAGGAAACGATACCTTGCTCTAGTTTAAATAAATGTTTATTATATGGAACACGAGTGAACTGGTACATGAGGGTCAGTTACTTCAAAAATAAAAACAAAACTGCAAAGGACATATATATATATATTTTTTTTTTCTTTTTTTTTTTCCATTGAATGCCGTTTTATAGAACGCCGTTTTATCGAATCGCTAAGGGCCGTTTCATCGAATTTCTCTGGTATGGCTCTGTACCGAGTTTTGGGGCATAACAGTGCTTTATAGATGTTTCACTTGGCACTTGTTAAGACTAAGGTAGTCACTTGTGAAATTGTTTTGAAGGTGGTGTCAAATTACTAAAAATAATAACAATTGGCATCAAAAGAAATAAAAACAATTGGGTATGCGACTTACTAAAAAGCTTTACTCATGTACATGACTGAAACCACGACACTGCAAATAAAGGACAGACACTTAAACCTTGTTTTTTTTTGTTTTTTGTTTTTTGTCTCATTTTTAACTGTTTCATGTGACATGGAGAGGGGTTATTGTTTCATGGAGGCTTTCTTCTCGAAGCAGGATAGGTTCACGATGTCATTTATCTCGTCACTGCACCCAGTGATATAAAAACAGAAAAAAAAACACAGTGAATTAGATGAAGTATTGTATAAAAACTAAAGTAAATCCTTAAATATTACAGACTGTAACATTGTTCGATGAAAAGGCGTTCGATGAAACGGCTTCTATGAAACGGAGTTCGAGGAAACTGCGTTCGATGAAACGGTATTCGATGAAACGGCATTCAATGAAACGGCATTCAATGAAACGGCGTTCGATGAAATGCCCGGACCCAGGAGGACCCCGTTCGTAGGGAGGGGAAGTGAGGGGTTAGGTTAATTATGATAATTATTGAATAAATAGTAGATATAACTGAGGTCTAGTATGAAGTATACAGTGGCGTAGGCAGAGGGGGGGGGGGGGAAGGGGGGGTAGGGTTCGGGGGTCGAACCCCCCCCCCCCCCGCCCCCCCGGAAATGCCGAAGCTACCCCCCCCCCCCCCCCCTTTTCCCTCCACCACCGGCGCCCGCATTGGGCCCGCTACCCTGCTCACGGAGTCGGTCTCTCACGGGGCACGGAGTAAAGGGGGAGCGCGGCGGACTATCTCCAACTTATATGCTTTCGGGACAAATGTTTGTGGGGTAGAAAATACTCAAATACGTAAAATAGTCAATATTTCTTCATGTATGCTTATTTGATGGGATGCGGAACTTGATCTCAGATATATAGCGAACAGATATTTCGAAACATCTGTGGGGTGAAGGATGGTAATTTCAAGGCAAGGTGTAACAAACTATACTCACTGAGATACATAGTTAAATCAAACTAAAGTAAAACGATGTCAGTGATGTGAGGCATGAATTGTAAAAACAATTGCACTGTAAGCAACGGGTGGCGCATGCACTCACGTACACCTTGTGTGCTGATCAAAATTACTTGCTTTCGACTAGAAATTACCGCGAATAAAAAGGTAACTGTGACTAGTTAGTATTTCAGAAAGCAATTTACGGGCTCTCTTGATCATTTTATTTATGCCAAGTGCCTACATATTAAGATGCAGCCGCCTGCGTTCACAGCAAAGAACATCCAGGATGTCCACCGCTTGAACTTCAATGTCGCGCGGTGAAAATTCGAAATTACTAGACCGAGCAGTCGCTCATTCGAAGTGGTGGCTCTCAGGTTTGTTTTCAACCGTCGTAGTGAAGAGAACGAGCGTTCAGCTTCCGCCGCTGTTACGGGCAGAGTCGGATCTTGAGGAGACGATGGACGTTCTGAAATAGGGCCTCCGGACAGAGGGCGACCGCCTGTAGCGCAGACGTGACGGGCGTTTCAAGCTTCCCCCTTTCATTGGACGCCTAAAATTTCCCTATTTTTGGCGAAGTTTTTCTCACTTCGTGAAATTTCCCTCCATCGAGACGCCCGTCTCGATGGTCGCTCACGGATGAAATGAAGTCCCTCTTGCTCTCTGCTTTGCATATCGAGGTGGCATCCGATGCAATTCGTTATTAGATTAATCCTTTCGTTGCACGGAACATCAGAAACTCCGAAGGGCCTTCATATTCTCACTACGCATAGGCGCAAGGGTATTCAAGTCCGTTTCCATGTTCGCCGTGTGGTTTGCGCGTTTGTGTGTGCTGTGTGATGTCATTTCTCCGAGTGATGGAACAACGAGTTCGAACCGATGACTTCCAATCGCCCCGAGGATATGCAGCTGCTTCCTTTGGACCAAACTGCAAGATAAAGCGGCCTAGCAAAAATATGACTCTCGCTCTTCTCTTCGGCATCTTGTTCTGTAGCACGAATTTGTTAACCTTTAATATAGAATAGATTTTGGTTCTGAGATTGTTCAGATTTACCCTCACCCTATATATGGGCCCCTAGTGTTTGTGCGAGGACGGTTGCTCTGATTTTTCAGCGTCGAGTTACACCCTGCTTCGGTGTAACTTGGTAAAGGAATGATAAGCCCCGCATTGCGTGCCGTCGGCTTCGATATCCGCTAAGTATACGAGCGCAACGCACACATATTGGAGCATGACACAGCAAAAAGCCTGATGCTTCTTTGAAGTAAAAGTCCGGTGATAAAGTTACGTCCCGATTGGCCCGCCAGGCCGCAGCTTCCGCCGTACTTGCATGTTATGCGATCACGGCTTCCTGGCCTACCCAATATTTCTTGCTTGAGACCAGAGTAATAGCTTACGTTTGAACAATGCAGCTGCCACTCCCAGGCATACCCAATGTTTCTTGCTTCAGTAGCTAGATACCATAGCGCCCAACCAAATATAGACCGGTGTCCAAAATCCTTTCCAGCGGCAGTCTCGAACAAAGCGATTTACAGCGCGCGTCCCTGGTTTTGAGAGGGTACGTCAGTGTTGCCCGACTGCGCTGGGCTGTGGAGTTTCTCGTCAGTGGGCTGTGGCAGCCTGCGTAGACGCACCTCCGGACGCTGGTGGAGGTTAAATTGCCGCGTTCTATTTTTTATTTTGTGTTCTATGGCGAATAGAATTTCTCAGGGTTTTTAGAATACATTGTACAAATTTTGAAAACAAAAACAAAGAAATGAAAGCTGTTTTGGTGAGTCCGTGTGCGACAGAACAAATGCTACTGGAATGTTTGTTTCATTTTATGTTGATCTTTTTACGCCACCGTACACTCAGCCGTGTGAATCTACAAAGGTCTTAACCGTCGAAAATAATTGACCACCCAGGAAATCCGAACTGAATAAATATTACCCGCCCACAACATGAAATTAAACGAGTCTCATCAGCTGAACAACATCTATTGTACGTACCCCACGGTGCCGCGTTATCCGAACAGGATTTGAGAAAGGTCGCAAATAACACAGCATATCCAATATACAGTGTCGATGACAGTCACTTCACGACGACCGGACGGAATCCGGCGTGTTTTGGGGAACATATAGAAGAGAGCTGCTTTTTTGCACAGCTTCAAAGCAAATGAACGAACGTGTCTATTCCGTCCCCACACCCCGGACCCGACCATGTCAGCTATTTTTCGCGAAGACCCGGAACAGAAGTCGGGAAGGCTTTTTGGAGATCATCTCAACGGAAATAATCCTCCCCGAACGCCGAACTGGCCGCGTCGCGGGCTGCCTGACGTTCGCTCTATTCGTCCGTTTCCTGCGAAGGCCGAGCAGGCCACGAGCCCTGATATTCCCTGGTTCTCACAGTGGAAGATAACACACAAAAAGTAAGCATCCTAAACAAGCAAATAAAGTAAATACGTCCAAGAAAAGTCGGCGAACTCCAAATGCACAATGCAGCTGGGGAGTCACGCTGACCGGGTTTCCACAGTTCAGGCAGGTGGGAGAAATTTCTGACCGATAGGGGTCGCTCGATTCGCAAAATGGCGGCGGCCAGAGCGCTCTTTTTGCAAAGGTCTATAGCCCCCAGCGATAAAAAAATGTGAAATAATAATTTCAAGCGCAGGCTCTTGTGAAGAGAGGGGCTGCGCAAAAAAACAAGGTTTTTGCTCTTTAAAGCACTCTTGGTAATGGTATTGTTCTTAGAGCTTCGTGACTATGCCTTTCCGACGTTCCTGCACTACGTTATGTGGACGCAACTATGTTGGACGCAACTGTGTTTTCAATGCTAAAGCATTAACTGTCCCATGGAGCGAGCCGACGTCATCAGCTTTAAAGCCGCGTCAAACGGAAGCTAAACTCCCCTCTCCCAATGAAGCGCAGTGAAGCCGCGATCTGGAGGCTCCCAGCTTTGAAGCCGCACCGAAAGCCGCGCCAAACGGCAGCTAAATTCCCCTGTCTCAATGGAGCGAAGTGAAGCCGCGATCTGAAGCTTCCCAGCTTTCAAGTCGCACAAAAAGCCACGCAAAACGTCAGCTAAATTCACCTCCCCAAAAGGAGCAAAGTGAAGCCGATTTCTGATGGATAGGCTCCCATTGGCTGGTGCGCGTCATCAAAGAACGAGGCTCCCATTGGCTCTCGTGCGGCGTAGTTCCCCAATCCGCCACCAGAGAAGCCCTCTCCATGGCGGCGCAGCGCACGCAGCGGCCCGGCGAGGTGCGGCGGCGCGGCCACTTCACGAGAGCGCGCGCTCGATCGTCGGCCGCTACCTCGACATGCCGAAACGCGGCGGTCCACGCCACTGCGCCGCAGACGAACTATGCGAGTGGAAGCATTAACGACATTCATGCTTTCGCATTCAAAAGTCATAAGAAGTGCTTAGGTCCCTAGGAAAAAAGCCATTTGTATGAGAAATT